CAAACACATTACAGACAAGGAAATTGAAACAGCAGTCAAAAACAGCAATCAAAAAATAAAAAGCACAGGCCCAGATGGTTTCATAAGTGAGTTCTACTAAGCTTTCAAAGATGAACTAATACCTATCCTACTCAAACCTTTCAAAAATTGAGAAGGGATACTTTCAAATGCATTTTATGAGGCCAGCATCACACTAATATTAAAACCAAACAAAGCACACCATAAGAAAACTATAGGCCAATTTCCCTAGTTAACACAGAAGCTAAAATCTTCAATAAAATCTCAGCAAACTGAACCCAACAATGTGTTAAAAAGGATTACATACCATGACAAGTGGGATTTATTCCAGGGTCACAAGGATGGTTCAACATCTGAAAATCAATCAAGGCAATTCATTGCATAAATAGCAAAAAAAGATAAAATCCATATGAATATATCTACAGATGTTGCCAAACCATTTGATAAAGTTAAACATCCATTTGTGATGAAAAAACCATAAAAAATTAGGGATAAAAGAAATAGATCTTATTTCCTAATTTTACTAGTAAAAGTCATATACAACAATCCAACCGTTGTGCCACCAGGTGAGGCCCTTATTTTATTTTTTAAAGATTTGTTTATTTATACAAGCACTGGGTACAGTCTGGGTACAGTCAGAAATGCGTGAGGGCGAGAGAATTCACCAGAGTCAGAGGGGAGAGCAGAGCAGGCAGACTGACGAAATATGCTGCTGAGAGGAGTGGCGGGTGAGACAGGAGAGGTCTGTGCGCCATGTGGGACCCTCACCCAGTGGCCGGGGATGGAACCGGTGCTACATAGGCTGCGGGCAGCTTTGCAGCCCAAGGCTCAACCGCTGTGCCACCAGGGAGGCCCACAACCTAATTTTAAAAAAAAAGAAGGATTAAATGTTAAGTAGACACTTCTCCAAAGAAGAAATGCAAATGGCCAGTAGACATATGAAAAGGTTTTCATCATCACTTATTATCAGGGAAATGCAAATCAGAACCAACTTATTTCTGTGAGAATAGCCCATATTAAAAAAAAAAAAAAAAAAAGAACAGAAACAAGTGCTGGTGAGGATGTTGAGAAAAAGGAACCCTGTTATTGTGCTGGTGGGAATGTCTAAACTGGTCAGCAACTGTGGAAATTCTTCAAAATACTGAAGGTGGATCTGCCATAGGACATAGCTATTGCACTCCTAGGAATCTACCCAAAGAATAAAAAACACTAATCTGAAAGGAAATCTGCATCCCTGTGTTTATTGCAGTACTATTCACAATAGCCAAGATATGCAAACAACCTAAATGGCCCAATACAGATGAAAGGATCAAGATGTGGTACATATATATAATAGAATATTACTCAGTGATCAAAAAAAGATAAACTCATGCCATTTGTGCCAACATGGATGGAACTGGAAGGGATTATGCTAAACCAAGTATGTCAGAAGGAAAAACATAAATATTGGATGGTTTCACTTACATGTGGAATACAGAAAAACCAAACAAAGGATCAGACAAAGACTTGAAAGATGACCATAGATCTGAGGCATCCAGGAGGGAAGGTACAAACTGGTATAGTGGAGAGCATAAGGGACTATGCTGATGGACTATGGGTGATTTGGTATTAGCAGAATTACAGTGACAATATCTGAGGAGAAACTCTTATGTTATCCAAAAATTAACAATGATGTAAGAAAAATGTACTAAAAAAATTAAGAACTTTCCACACTTACCCAGGATTCAGGCTGAAGTACATGTGTCTCTGAATGTTCATATAGATGTGCTCTGCTTACTGATAATTACAAGAGTTATTTTCCAGATCAGAATATCCACATGACTTTTTCCTACAAAAGAATATGTCTATAGATGCTACATCTTCCCTCCATGTTTACTTCCACAATCATACTTTTTTTTTTTTGTCTTACAAACAGAACATAATAAACAAAGGAGAGTTCACACTGCTTCAGAAATTAAAATCTCTATAACAACAAAAGAGAAGCAATTCAAACTATCACTGTCAAGGAAAACTTCTTTAGTTAAAGCACTGGATCTTTTTACTTTCCAGACATATTTCTGGTAAAGGAAAGTGGGATATTAGAAATGAAATATTTTGGTTGCACTGGAATGTTGTAAACTCAGATTATTTTGTGGAGAGCAGTAAAAGTAATGGCAGTTTTTCTTCAACCACCTCACTTTTTTCACCCCCCCCATCTGTTGTCAAAGAAGCTTTGCTCTTGAAAGAGAGAGGGTCATAGGGCTATTTTTTAGACCCTCATGACCTACCAGAGATCTCAAGTTGAGGCCTCCTATACTAGATTTTAGATGTTTCACCACAGGAATACTGTGTGAAATATTTGATTGCTGTATTTTAATTCATAGAATGACATTGTTGATTGAGTGCCCTAAGCCAAATAAATGAGCCACTTATGTTTGGCACTTGTTCACATTAATCGAAACAAAATACAATATTATCTTGATCAAGCCCTTTTTAAGAAATAGTGACTAAATGATGCGTTTTTTTCTTTGTGTGTAATTTTTTTCTAAAAGTTGGAGGAAACTGATTTCCTTTTGATGAACCTGTGTTGCCTACATATTGATGTCCACAGATTTCTTACTTTATTAATTGTCCTAGCAATTTAGCCAGAATTGATTTATATGAAATATTCCCTCTTGTTGCAGGCACTGCAGTCAGCTAATTGATTGCTGTATGAATTATGCACCCTAAGCCAAATGCAAAGGGGCATGAATGATGCAGTCAAGGTCATTTTCCACCAAGAGAAATACAATGACTCAATGCCTTTTACAACAGGCTTTATTACTTTAACTTTGCTGCTTTCTTCATGTATACATCAAGTTCAGTGTCATGAAACTCTAAAGTCACACCTTTAATTTATAAAAAGATGCAGGCATCCACAGTTCACTGTTCTGTAGACTGACAAGGGCTGTAATTGAATTAATTTGGTATAGCTAAGGAAAGCACCAGAAATGGCATACAGGTGCTTTTTATCTGATTCCAAAATATGCCAAATCTTATCATATTTACCTATAGTTTATTAACACTTAAAAGTGATTGCTCCAAAAATAAGCACTGTGATTTTGTGAAGGACATGTTGGGACTAAATGTTTGGCATTTCAGCAGATGATGGATAGTTTTGAAAAGTTACAATCAGTTATCATTTATTCATGCTAAGAGAGGTGATTTATACATTCACTAGAATGTATAAAGAAGAGTGATGCTTTGCTGAGGTTTTCAGAATTAAAGCAATCAAGTTGGAATTATTAAAAGATCTGGGTTTTGGTGTCTCAATGGCTCAGTTCAAATTATCACTTAGTAATTTTTTGTGACTTTAGGCAATTTAACTAATCCTTCTGGACCTCAGTTGTTTTGATGCACAAAACATAACGGGCGTAATACTAGTTTACTTGCATCATTATATAAAGAAGATCATGACTGTTAAAGAGTCAGTGAGTCAGTCTTAGTCAGTATTTTGATGTTTATACAATAGTATAGTATTCCTCAAATTACAAATTGTGTGGGGGTTTATAAAAAAACCTTCCAGTTTTCTATTAAAATCACCCTAAAATGGCTGAAACTATCTTCTGTCTGCCTCCTAAACCAACCAAACATCTTACGAGTTTTCAAAAATGCAGGAAATGATCCGCAAAAGGTACATGCTTCAGGAAAAAATTATAAGATTTTCCAAATATGCTTAGTCTGTGCTAGATAATTTTTATGCTATGATTTTGTATTAGGAGTTCAGATACTTCATTAGAGAAGAAGCAATCAAAACCCCTTTAGACCAGTGCATTATATATATATATATATATATATTTAAAAGTACTTCCATTCCATCTGTCATCATTTTTTAAAATATTTATTTATTTATGCATACAAAAAATGGGGTGCAGGCCAGAGATGTGGGAGGTGAGAGGATTCACCAGAGACAGAGTGGGGAGCAAACAGACAGATCCCCTGAAATACACTGCTGAGGGGAGCAGCGGGCGAGACAAGAGGTCTGTTATGTGGGTTAGCTTCCTGGTCAGGGATCGAACTGGAGATCAAACTAATGCTAGTGCTGCAGAGGCTGGTGAAAGCTTGATAGTGCTGAGACTTAACCCCTAGTGCATCATATCTTAAGGCACATAGCAATTACTTGGGCTGGGGGAGTTGTTAAAATGCTAATTCTGGTTCAACAGGTTACATTGGGGCTTGAGATTCTGAAGTTCTAACAAGATTTCTGGTTACATGATTTATACATCTGGTCCATGGACCATAACTGAGCTGTGAGGCAAAGTGCTTTTCAAACCTGGCCTCACGTGAGATTCTGAGATTCGCCTGAAGATCTCTGTAACAGCAATAATGTCTGGGCTCTTAAATAGGCTTGTTGAATCTCTGGGGTTGAAGTCCTGGCCTTGGTACATTTTTAAAGCTCCTTGAGAGATCTTTATATGTTGAATCCTGGTTGGAACCAATGTTTTAGACATAAGGACAAGTGCTTCCATTACATATTATGAGATGATTTTTTTTTTAAAATCACATATTGATAAAGTCAAGGCTTTATAACATTGAAAGCCCAGGTCCTATGCTTCAGAATGTTACAGTTTGCAAAGCAGTGTTCTCAGTGGTCACAGGGTGTGGTATGACCACAGCATGTGTACCATGTCCTAATAGGAAAGATAGGTGTCAGGGCCTCCCCGGTGGCGCAGCAGTAAAGCGCTGGGCTGCAAAGCTGCCTTGCAGCCTCCGCAGCGCTGGTTCGATCCCCGGCCACCAGGGAGGGTCCCACCTGGAGGGCAGGCGCACAGACCTCTCCTGCTGCCCCCGCTGTTCCCCTCAGCAGTGTATGTTGTCGGTCTGCCTGTTCTGTTCCCTGCTCTGGCTCTGGTGAATTCTCTCACCCTCCCACGCTTCTGACTGTACCCAGTGCTTGTATAAATAAATAAATAAATAAATAAATAAATAAATAAATAAATCTTTTTTTTTTTTTTTTTTAAAAGAAATATAGGTGTCATGACAGCTTCTCTCCAGGAAGGATCAACACTTCATCCCTTTTTGTAAAAACAGCTTCATACAACCAGTGACTCTAGAGTTGTGCTTTAAACCTGGAGTGGAAAGAAATGTCTTATGGCATTAAAAGACCATACAAGTTATTCATGGATTTTATTTAGAGTGTGGAAAATCTACATTATGATGAAGAAGTTTTGCTGTTATGGGACATTAATGTTCTACCACAATATCCTGTGATCTCATGCCTTTAAAATTAGTACTTATAATAGATCGTATGCAAACTGACTCTACATTTTCTATGTCCCCTCTTGCTTGCTATGTTTTCACCATTGTAATTTTTATTCAGTATTGTGTTTCTTTGTTTCAGTAGCACTTGTATTAGATCAATTGGAGACTAGTTTTAAACCAGATTGGTGAGCCTACCCCTCATAATTTCTGGTCCATAGGTCTGGGTGAGGACTGAAAAATGGCGTTTCAAGCAAATTCTCATGAGATAGTCTTGGTCATTGATCCAGAACTTCCCTTTCACCTCCTCTTGTGAGAACTACTACTTGATTATTTAATGAGATTTATGGAAGGAAGGATTTTATATCTGTATATTCTCCATCTTACCACCAGTGCCTAGTATATACATGACATGAAATACTATTTTTGGAATAAAAACTGACAACTCAGCTTGATCTCATTTATATGAAAGCACTTATGGAACCTTGGGATTTTTTTCCTCCAGTCCATTGGGATCATGCTTACCAATACATGTCAAAAAATAGCATTGACTTGGGGGTCTCTACTACTGTTGACCCTGGACTGTCAGGAGACACTTCCTGAGATAGTTTTGGGGTGTTTTTTCCTTAGACACTAAATAATGGTAACAAAATTGCCATGACATCAAAAGGTTGGTCAGCCATTCAGACTTACACTTGAGGTCTTAAAAAAGCAGAAGCGACAAAAGTCTCCTTTAGGGCCATCTGCTTTAAATTTTTCAGCCAAACCTTCTCAGGGCTATAAGGTACCACAAGAAGAGACCAAAAGTAAAATCTACCACGAATATTCCTATTACTATCAAATGCTATAACAATAATCCAATATTAGTATGCCTTTACATCCTAAAAGATATTTGTTTCAAATTAATGTTTTTGTGATTTTAAAATATTCCTTAGACATGTTTACATGCCTTGAGGCATATTTTCTCAAGCTAATATTTGAAACAGTAAATAACTTATGTAATGATAACTTATTATATTTTGACTCTTTGGGCCACATAGTAATTTAATTATCATTACTAAGTATTTGCTGTTGTAGGGGTTTCCTGAAGTGAAGGCATGGCTCTAGCCTTCTCAGACCTCACCTCAAAGTTGTGAAAACAAAATATAAATCTAAGTGCTACAAAAAATCTAGATCCCATGTGTGGAAGTTCTGAAAGAAATTGCTTTGCACCCCATGTGTTCTCAATAATGAAAAAATAGATAACGGATCCAGAATCTCCTTAGGACTATCAACAGCAATAGTACTGATACTTTAAAAGTGATTTTAATATTTCATAGTTTATTTTGCCTCGTAGTAACTGAAATCTGTGAGGTTAACAGACTAAAAAAATCCAGTCAGAAGAGACAACAAGGGGTTTAATGACTTGCTTTGGGCTTATAATTCATACATGGAAAATAACAAAGACCCTGTGAAAATTTATAGGCATCAGATTATCTAGGACAACTCCATAAAAAATGCAATGGGCCATACATAGGATGGCAGGTTGTATCTGTGGAGTAAAAGGCCTATGTAGTTGCAGAGCATGAATGCCATCCTCTATGATTTTATTTTATTTTTAAAGATGAGTACATATTATTTGCTTTTATGTAATTTTCATCTTGATGTGTGTCTTTGACCATTTGAAGGCTTGCTAGAAATAGCTGAGAAAATGTAAAGGTCTTTAATTTCTGAAAGTGAAACTATGACTAAATACTTGCTATTCATTTTGATTCAGTTGTCCTTCCTAAACCTTAGGGAAAAATGGTGCTCCGGAAGCATGCACTCTTACCTGCAGCATCCACAGGCAACAATGTGCATATGTGTATGCATGTTTGCATGTGTTTGGTATATGGTATATTTCCTCACCCTATATTTAGTGGTTAAACTTTTATTAAAATGAAGATATGAATTTTATGAAGAAATATGATTTATGCTGAGGGTATTTAAAAAAATCATTGTGTAGTGTAGTGAATTTGAAAAAAAGTTAAGAAACATGCATCTTAGCCCTCCCCTGACTTAAAAATAGTATCCATGTATTTATTAGAGATGTGGAAATGCTCTCCCTGGAGAAAAACAAAACAAAACAAAACAAAACAAAACAAAACAAAACAAAATGGAAGACAAGTGTGGAAATATAGAAGAGTGATATATATTGTATAGTGCAGTTTTAGAGATAAACTAGAACTGATGAATGAATTTGGTTTAATATATGAATTAATTTTCTAAAAAAATTGTTTTAATGTCAACTTATTCTGCGTTTATATATGATTAATTCTGTGTTCATATATATTAACTACTTTAACCTTTATGGAAATCCACTTAACGCATCACAGAATTGAAGTGCAAGGATTGAAATGAACCTATTGTAGCTTCCCCGTCAGGTGAGAGCAGAAATGGGATTTGAACCTAAGCAGTTTGACTCGGTGAACAACAGCTCAACCATGAGGATGTGATACTTCTCTGAAACTTTTTAATGTGATGGGATTCCCTATTAAGGAGTGATTTCTTATATTATTACATTTGTTTAAATGAAAAATGACCAACCTCTATTAGGTATATACCAGAGGAATTTTTTTCTCAACTTAGTGAGAAGTTGTACTATATGATCAATGAATCTTTTAATTCATAGATTCTTTAATCAAATAATCAGATCTTGCAGGCTACCTTCATCTATTGAATTATTGATATTATTTTGTTTTGATACTCATTTAGGTTTGTCTATAATGTAATCTGTGATGTAGCAAATCAAGTTTTAACTTGTTGCTGGGACCCATACTTACAAAAAATATAGACTGATTTCATAATGTGGAAAATTATTATGGCTGCTCTAGTCTTCACAATTGCTATAGTCTGTCCAAGTTGTCATGTAAAATCAGAGAAACAGCTTTAGGGAAACCTGAAATCATGTTTGTAACTGAATTACCCTGTATAATGGAATCTGTTGCTGTCGAATATGATTTGACCCACAATGGGGCAATTTAAAGAGTGTAAGTGAAATAGATTTGCCAATTGGATATAGCACATTATAAATGTGGATAACTGATCCTTAGGAACCAATAAGTATTTGGAAAACACAATAATCACTTTAGAAAGTAATAAACCTATCTAATTCCATCTGAGTCTTCATATAATAAGAAAAATTGCCTGAATCAAGAGAAAGAGCATAAAGTTTTCTATTAATCTTTGATAGTACTAATTAAGTTGGTTACCATGTTGCTATAACTATCATAGCATTTTCTATGGCTTGTTAATTATCGTCATTTTAAAATATAATCTAGGATTAGGCAAGAGAAATATGAATAGATAGTTTTTTTTTCTTTTAATGTAATGCAATTTAAGAAAATAATTGCAAATGAGATGGGGAAGTTAAACTCATTTGATGTTCTGAATTAGGAGTATGGGAGGAGATGATGTGAGCCTGGATGGTGTTTTGCTAGTAACCTTCATTGTTACTTGAAAAATCAATCCATAATCCCAACCACAGTAACATTCTTTCTGTAAGGAATGCTATGCCATGAAAACTAATTAAAGCTAAAACTCTATGAAAGCAGAAATTTATAGTGATGTTTAACACAGTGTCAAGTAGTGCTAGTGAGATATCTTGGGGCTAATTCTGGAAACAACAGAGTAGAGTGAGCCACATTTTCAATCCAAATGGTTCACAAAGTTTATTTAGAATTCAACTTACAAAAGCTCTCACTGATTTTTTTTTTTAAATCCCCTTACCTTCCCTAAACTCAGAATTAACTCACAGTTTTCCTACCTACGGCTCATATTTGTATGTTACTATCACCTATGAGACAACTGAATACAGAAATAGAGATCCTGATGGAATCTATAGGGACTCATTAGGAATCATTAAGTGACCCTTAATATTAAGGTCATTAAGATGAATATATTCATCTGAAAATTATATCTATTCAAGATTTTTTTTTTTTTATAGAGGCATGTTTTATTTATTTATTTGTTTGTTTTTTTGTTTGTTTATACATGCACTGGGTACAGTCAGAAGTGCGGGAGGGTGAGAGAATTCACCAGAGCCAGAGTGGGGAGCAGAGCAGGCAGAAGGACCGAAGTACACTGCTGAGGGGAGCAGCGGGCGGCAGGAGAGGTCTGCGCGCCATGTGGGACCCTCCTCTGGTGGCCGGGGAGCAGCTGGGGATCGAACTGGCGCCGCAGAGGCTGCGGGCAGCTTCGCAACCCAGCGCTCAACTGCTGCGCCACTGGGGAGGCCCTCTATTCAAGATTTCTTATAGTCTTTTAATATCAGTCTGAAAACAGTGTCCAGAGTCAATAGAACAATGAAGTTATTATCAGCCTTCTGAACATTTAGCAAATAGTATTTTGAAATTTATAGAAAGATAATAAATGCTCATATAAAAGGTGAAAGTACTATTTTATGGTTGAAAATTGTCAATACTAGATATATAAACTTCAGTAAAAAATAAGTTATCATAAACATATGGCCACATTTTCCAAAATGTTTGGCTACTAATTTTTAGCACTTTTCCTAATGTTCATGCTGTGGAACACAAATCCTTAGAGATACTACAATATAAAAGATTTTTTTTGCGTGTGTTAAAATAATTTCAAAAAGCACAGAAATATATATATATATATATATACATATATATATATGTATATATATATATATACCTCTTCTTACATAAGTACTCATGTTAGACAAAGCTCAGAGATAAATTTCATAAAAAAACAAAGTCTGTTTCATTTGCTAAATTTATTTGATCATAAAGCAGTTCCTCATTTTTCTTTCACCTTACTTACATATATTGCCATTCTGTAGAATACAATTAAGGAGATTTTAGCTAAAATATTTATTTTCATAGTTGTTAATATTTTAAAATTTGGTAAGTAGGAGGTTTTGCTCAAGGGTTGTATGCTTTATAGAATAATTGGAAAATCTCAAATTTAGCTTCTAGAAAGGATATTAGTCTAGGTTATTTGACTAATCCTCATGTGAGAACTAACTTATCAGTAAAACCCTGAATAAAATATTTTTATATGCATGGAAGAGATATAAAGAAACATGAAAACTGCTCTTGACTTGAATTTATATTTCTCCTAGATTTAGTATGATAGCTCTGGGAAACAAGTAGGAGAAAAATCAAAACCCAGGCCTGGTAGTAATAAGTCTTGGAGGAAACTTTACACACAATAAGATGTGATTCCAAGAGCAACATATTCTAGATGAAAGTTGACCTGAAGTAGATCAGGTTTCTTATGGAATTATAACACAAATTACTGTCTTCTTTATAGCCCAGTAAACTTCAAGCCTTAAATCTGTTCTAAATAGGCCTCTGATTAGTGCAATGTCTCCTAGAACCTCACAGAGGCAAATGTAATGTCTCTCTAGGGCAAGGTGTCTTTAGTGAAGGTCGCAGATTATGCCTACAGATTTTTTTTTTTTTTTGCAGATAACATACCCAGCACTAAGTAAAAGAAAATTCAATATCAGATCACCTCCAGAAAAATATTAGGTTTTGTAACTGTCAGAATGATGCTACAAAGCAACTATGCTATGATAGTAAAAAAGAGATGAGTTTGCAGATATTTTTGGAACCAGTAAACTGAAAAGTGACACAGTAGATTTAAAAGATTAGTAAATAGAATATTTATAAATGAAATTTTAATTCTCAGAATTAAATATAATATATGATTATAGGCAGATTAGACATAGCTAAAGAATAAATTTAAGGAAGATAGAGCATAGAAATTACACGGAGTGCAGCCAGAGGAAGTAAAAAATACAGGAAAACATACAAGGCAATGAGTGAATAGGTTGAGAAGGTCTAATAAATTAAATATGATGCTAAATAGAA